CCAGAAGCACCACTGTCTGGCTGATTCAGTCGCTGGGTGGCTCCCTGATCCACATAAGGTCAGCGATTGCGTGTGGTGAAAGCTTGGCAGGGCTCTGGCAAGGCTCTGCTAATGTTTGGGGGGAGGGGAGGGGGGAGGGGGAGGAGGGAAGTCCTTTACTGCCCATACATCATGTAAGATAGAAAGAAGCCCTGCACACTGGATCACATCTACGGCGTCGGATGTCAACATGACCAGTGTCAGGTTGCACAGGACGCCATGGATTTCGAACCACAAGGACATGTCACTCGCCATGGAGATTGTCTCATGCTCTGCACCTACAACGCCAGGACAGTCTCCACCAACGCCGATTTTTACGCCCTGGCGCGTCAACTACGTAATCGCCTTGCATGAAACAAAGTCCAAAAAGCTGGACCTGAGGCAGCTGAGTGATGGCACACTCATCATTCGTGGTGAAAAAGTTCCATCTTGGAACGTTGGAGGCTAGATTTGTCGTTCACCCAACTGTTGTCCATCTTGTCGATTCGTATGAGATCCTATCACCTCGCCTGGCTATCTTTCGACTCCGTCGTCTGCATCAGAAAACCATCACTATCGTCAATTGCTATTCTCGGATTTGGAGAAAGTCATCCGCAAAGAAAACTCCTTCCTTAAGTTTGTCGTGGATGACTTCACCAAAATCGGGATGCCAGAAGAAGGGGAGCACAGGATCGGGAAATTTGGACCAGGACTCCAGATTGAGAATGGTAACCGTCTTGTTGGGCTCTTATCCGCCGCACGACTTTTTCATTACAACTCTATTTTCATGAAGAAAGAACATGGGTGACTCCATGTCCACTGCCAGTGTCGGAGGAAGGGGAGAAGTCGTATATGACGGCATCAGACTTTAGGAGCTCTTGACCACATGTAACTGGACCCGAAGAGCTACGACCTGCTGCTGACAGCCTGTGGTGAAATTGCCTCAATGCCCTGCATAAGGAACTTGGAACGAATTTTCAAAGCCACCAAGGATCTGCTAGAGAGGAGAAGAGCACTGAGGTTGGTTCCGACTGCGTTACTTCTCGAGCGACTGGTAGCCAACACCAGTTGCAGAACAGCTTTGCAAAAAGATCTTCGAAAGTACAGGCAATCGAAACTTTTAGAAGCAGCACAAGGAAGGAGGAGTGCAAAGAAGTGCCGCGGACCTTCTTGACTACCGTGTCCCGTTGACAACATTACTAAACGAAGACGGGACTCGCACATCTTCCCGGTAGAAGATGGAATCGACCACAATTCTACACCAACTCTTTCAACACCTGTGTCAAACCCCGTTATCCCCACTGGAGAATTACCACCACGCTACCTGCTGAAGAAGGCGCCGCACTTCCGACCATGAAGGCAGCCACGTAAGAGGTCGGCCGAACCATGTTTCGGAGGACATCGCCTACACGAGAGACTTGCGGAACATCTAACGTTCTACCTTCAAATGGAGATACTTTCGACCAATGGAGAACCTCGGAGAACCTCCCAAACAATCCTTCTTCATAAGAAGGGCGAGAGGGAGGATTTTCCGAACTACCGTCCAATATGCCTGCCGAGTGCGT